GTCGTGCGACAGTATTCTTAGGCCAGACAAGGGAGCCTGAAGGGTGATGCAATCCATGTGCCCGGTTGCAGACAGACAAAAGTGTTGCGAGCGTCACTTTTCATGTAGACATTGTAGCCAGGTTTGGAATGAAACAACAGAATCTGTAGAGTGGAGAGTTTGGTACGATGATCATCAGAATGATACAAACAGATTCTTATTTGCTTTGACACACCCCTAGTCTTTCTCCTCCCAGATTCTTGCAGTGTTTCCATCAACCCTGGCAGGTTCAAGTTGCTGAGGTTTTTCATCCAACGAGTCTTCCATGGGTTTCGTAAAAGATTCCGAGTCACTTTCTTGCGATATTTTGATGGTGATCGTGTATGAATTCGATGGTGCTGGTGACATTCCTCCCGTGGGACGAACGGTAACGCGCCGACGGAGCCAAAACGGCACCCACCGAAACGGTCGTGGGTTTAGCACGTCATTCTGGCAATGTCCAACTCAAACGGGAGAATCCCACATGTTACTAGATGTTTTTATGGTTTTTTCTGAAAGTGGCTTTTGGGGGGTAGGAGGGCACCCTCGAATTTTTTGAAAGATAGGTTGTGTGCTCGCTTTTGAATAGGTGCTGTGAGTGAGAGATCTGCAGACATTTTGATTGCTGAGCAGATCCTATTCAGGCTCTAACGTTGATGAAAGGGGAGGTTTGTGGATGTCAGATCATGCAGGCTTAAACGTGTCTATAAAATAGTCTCAGATGTGGGCCACATTCATGATCAATTTTTCAAAAACTCCAGGGTACCTGGATTAATAAAATATGGAACTTAATCCAGGGGCCCTGCACAAGGGGGTATGTAAGGGACCCGCCATGTTACTAGTAGCTTCTTGCTACTAGAAGCAATGCACTTGTTGCTAGTAGCGATGCCCTTGTTACTAGTAGCGTCTTCGCGCCAGATTCCAGAAAACTTGGAATCCTTGAATGATGACAATTTGCTCAAGAACCTGGACGACAAAACTGTCCGGCAGCTGAATCATGATGTTTCGATCATGCGAACGAACATGGATGTTCTCTTGTGATTGGCTGCAACATGTTCTGGACGTCTCGTGCCGATCGCTCTGCCATCGATGTCACCGCGCCATCGAAGACGTGTGTCGAAGACGTGTGCACGCTAGTAGCTTATTGTTCCTAATAGCAAACATTGTTACTACTAGTAAGGCACTTGTTACTAGTAGCGATGCACTTGTTTCTACTAGCTTCTTGTTACTACTAGTAAGGCACCTGTTACTAGTAGCGTGGCACTTGTTCCTAGTAGCGTCCTTGTTCCTCGGGAGACCCGTCCGCTCCAAGGTCCGGAGCATGAACGGGTGCCGTGTGGCCGACCACATCTTGTCGTTGGTGCCGGATGCGGAGAGGCGTCTACGCGACCGTTGGACCTTTTCGAGCATATCAGATGTTTGTTTTTTTTTTCGTATGGTTTTTGTCTGTTTTTATTCTTTGTCACTTGACTTCGACGAGTGACCGATTGCGAGTTGGTTTGGTTTGATTGCCAGGTCTTAGATTTGGAAAGAAGCTATATAGTTACAAGTATATATATATAGTTATATATATATATATGTACCATGGGCCATAATTATGGAAAGCCTTGTTTTTGGGCTGGCACCACCAGTAATCAACTAGTGTTTTGAATCTTGAGAGGGTTTAACACCACAATACATCCTGAAGGGGCTCCGAGATAAAAGCCTTAGTGCCAATTGGAACGCATAGAAGACACAATATGTCATGGCAAGCTGTTCATTGAATAACTGTACACCAATCGAATCAGCCCAAGATCAAGTCATCCTTTCGATCTTTTTTATTCGGTTGGAGGCCATTGCTAGGGCATCTAGATCAACCAAAAGAAAAGGCATCAACAAAGTAGAAAGAGGATCAACAACATAATAAAGGATCAAAAAAAATCATTGATAGGCCTCTTCTGCTCCTGGCCCTGTGGTCTGCGGGTCCTCTGGTCCTCTGGTCCTTTAGTCCGCTGGTCCACTGGTCGTTTGGTCCCCTGGTCCCTTGGGGTCCACAGGCCCTTTGGCCCCCTGGTCCTTTGGTCCTAATCCAATCCCGTGGTCTCCTGGTCCTTTGCCCTCCTGGTCCTCTGGTCTGCGGGTTTCCTATGGTTTTCTCCTTGTTCTTTCACTGATGCTTTTTGATGCCTTTGGTCCTTTCTCTTGTAGCTTATTGGCCGCAGTTTTCCTGCAAACGTACAATGCTTTTGGCTTCGGTTGCCTTAGGTCTTTTTGTGCACTTTTAGATGCCCTTCACTGAAAGGGCGATAGGGTACATAGTTTCTACTGATTTCTTTGTGGTGCTGTGGTTTAACGTTTGGTTCGCTTTGCGGGGGAGGCGCTGCGCTCACCCTCCCCCCCAACCCCCGTCCAGCACCACGAAATCTGCACTCTTGCACTGCGCCTGCCACGAAAACTATCTATGTAAAGGGTTTCCCATCGCATTTGCAGATTGTCCTCCTTCTTTGGCGGGACTATGCGTGAGCATTCAAGTGTAATAGCCCCGCAGCTTTTCACGTAGTGATGGAATGTAACGACCTTTTGAGCCGATGCTCAACCCCAACCATCCTCAGTGGGCTAGAATATTTTTTTAATTCCCTTTTTATGTCTTTTTGATCCCCGTTGAATCTTTTTTTGATTTCCTTTCTATTTTTTTGATCCCTTACCCCATTGCTAGGTTGGAGGCCATCGCTATTGTGACAGACTGGTTCGTTGGTTTGGTTTCGGCACAGGTTCCGAGACACCTTGCGCTTGATCAAGCTTTGGGCAAAGCACCGAGGCGTTTATTCCAATGTGCCGGGGAAGCTCAGGTGAGAAAACGGGGGCCTCCTTACACAAAGTGCAGCAGCTTTAGGCCCTTGGCCACGTTTGAGACTTTCAAGCGCTTTCATATAGAAAAAACACAAAGGAGGGTAAGACCTCCGTTAATAAGAAATTGTTTTTTCTATGAAACTGTTTTGATTCCTTGAACTGACCAGATGGTCTCATATGTGTAAGTCGAAAGAGACCATTCGGTCTCTCTCCTTCTCGGATCGAGTCGATCTTAGGCTGGGCTTCTTTGGCGGGATCTCCTGGGCGATTCTGGTGGCACGGCTCTGTCAGTGGGGAACCGCAGCACGAGACAACTCGTCCGACAGACCCGTCTGAACTTGAAGACCTATGCATGAGCTCCATGTGAATCAAACCATTGTAAGTTTGTTTCCTGGTTCCATGGCATTTTTGTCAGGTTTCCTGGTTCTCAAATCCGCATTGATAGAACTTGGCCTCAAAGGATCCTTAGAGCTTTAAGACACATTCCAATGGCCCAGTTTAGACTTTCATCAATCCACACTTCTCAAGACTGTGGCGCTCTTTGATGATTCTTCTCTTAAGCATCGACACTCACAGGATACCACACCACAATGCACCACACCTGCTCAGAGCCTGTGAAGGTTGTATCCTTACTTCAACACGGCCACGCTCGTGAAGCGATTCTTTAAGCTCTACGAGCGGCCAGGGACTCAGAGCGGACCGGTGCGGACCACCGGGGTGGGACTCGATTCGTGTGCTCGTTGCTAACGAATCGCAGGTGGGACTGGAACAATCCTGTGGTATTGACCCACATCCAGGAGAAGTCACAAGCTCAGATTCCACTCTTTGAGTGACACATAGCTCCAAAGGCGGCATGAAAGGCCACGACCCCATTGCTCCTGAGGCTGAACACTCCCGGGCTCATGATGTTCAAAATCTGGAATCCAAAGGCCGGGAAAGAAGCAGATCTCTCAGAAACCGCCAACCTGTAGAAGCGTCCTTCCTCAGAGCATGGTCTAGATTATTTAGTATAGAGTTGTAGGTTTCTGAAACAAGCTGTTATATACTCCTTGTAGAAGCCTCTTTTGCAGCACCTTTGTGATTAGACTAGCCAATCGGAATGCCCCACTACCTGGCTCCAGTGTCAAAAAGAAAGGTCAAAAATACAAGAGGCCAGGAGCCCTAGTAGCGTCCTTGTTACTACAACTTCCAGGTCATCCTGAGAACGATGAAACCACCGCCACGCAGGTGAATCCCCAGGATCGTATGCATTTGATGCCCATCATCACGCCGGCGTTCCCGTTCCCTGGATTCGATCGTTGGGGACAATAAGAGCGGCTAGTGCATGCCATCGCTAGTAGGTCGGAGGCCATCGCTTTTAGGTTGGGGCGCCATCGCTCTTAGGTTGGAGGCCATCGCTAGTAGGGTGGAGGCCATCGCTAGTAGCAGGAGGACTTTCAACAGAACGCTTGGAAGCGGTGGCACATTGGAGAGCTCCAGATCCTTGAATTTCTTGTTTGCATGTTACCATGTTGAACCAATCCGCTGACTGATTAAGGCCCCCCAACGCATCACACCAAGCAAGATCAATTGGGTAGTGATGTTTAACCAAACGAAAAAAACGGGACACGAGTGCACTAAGGTGCATGAATTCCACGCACAATGTGTCTGAAACGCGAAGCTGGCACTGGTTTGTTTCTGGCGACTGTTTGTATGGATAGCAGGATTCAGCATAGACCGATCCAGGCTAGTTGACGATCGTGTTTTATTGGGTTTTAGTCAGAATTGTCCGGTTTGAATTTGCATCTGCTGCCGCTTGTGATTGGCTATGTCCCATCCAGGCCTCTGGCCTCTCTATCTTGGATTTCTTCTCAAAGAAGCCTTCTATGAATGGCTGTAGTTCTGGTCACAAGTGCATCATGTTCAACAGGAGGTGAACCTATGATACGCTTCTGCAGGCAACTTGAACATGTAGGAATATGTAGGATGTGTGGGATGCTTCATGGTTTCTGTGATGTTTGGGCCAGGACCAAAAGAATTATCCTGGCCGAAATAACCAGGGCCAACAAAGTCTTGGAGCAGGCAGTGCGAGAAGATTGTCGGTGGACCAGATTGTAAATGCACAAATGCACAAATGCAGAAAGTTTGGATTTCAATATCATCAATTGAGAGATTCGCTGTGATCCAAATGGCCTCTGTTGCATGTCAGTTCGAGCGAAGAACACGTGGCACAGGAACTGACGCGACCGTGTCGCAGATCGACGGTCAGCCGTCGACCAAGGTGGAGCAAGGCAAATGCAAATGGGCAGAAGTCTATAGGCTCTGGCGACCGAACAAAGAGTACGGTTTTTGTTTGATTTCAGTTAACAGTCACATGAGACATCCACTCAAGCATGAGCCACAGGTCATGAAGACACATTTAAAGGTTTGTTGAAGATGTCGGCAGATTTTTTTCTTCAAGAGTATGTTGCTTTTGGTAATTTTGGCATGTCAATTGGGTAGCTGCCGGTGCGATGAGACAGAGCTAAGTGAATAACTATTCCGACTCTTCTCTTGGTGTGGCAAGAATCGCAAGGAACCAACTGGGTGCCACAAAAGACCGCTTGCAAAAGGCCGTTGCCTTTCTTCACGCAGCACAAGTTCTATATCCAAATTGAGGTCTTGGCTGCAACACCTCAGGCGTGGGGCAAGAGGGAAGATCCAAAAAAGGGACAGGTACGGACGGGGAGCGTCGAACACTACGGGCGGTTTTTTATCGGTGTTTCCTCCGAAAAGCTCTCGGTGTTTCATCTCAGCGGAATTCTGTAGACTAGTAGCAAGAAGCTACTAACAAGGGCATCGCTACTAGGAGCGAGGACGCTACTAGTAGCTTCTGAACAAGAAGCTACTCTATAGACTATATAATATATAGAACTAATAGCAATGGCCTCCACCCTAGTAGCGATGGCCTCCACCCTAGTAGCGTTTTGGTCGGGCAGATTCCTGTTTGTATTTCTGTGTTTTCAGAGCGCAGTTCTTGTGGCAACTGAGACCCACGAGCTGTCGACAGTACTTAGAAGTGTGCAGAGAGGGACAACCTTCTGCTGTTGCATCGGAGGGTTTTGACACTTGCCTTTGTATGTTGGGCATGTCCAAGCATGTTCGTCGTGGCCAGAAAGCTTTTTGTGGCCCAGCTACTTGGGCAGCCCTTTTGCCATATTCTGATGCCTTTTCCACTGCAGGTCTTTACTAAATGGCTCGGCTGGATTGAGTGCGGACGCCAGCCCTTCACAAAGTGAGTTGGTGGAGTTTTGACATCGCTCCGTTCATGTGGATGAGTTCAATGAGGCCAACTTCCACAGTTTGTAGTCGAAGTAGGAGTGCTGGAGGCCATCGCTAGTAGGGTGGAGGCTGACTTTGACTCCAATCGACCGAAAGCGACACCGAACCTTTGGACCTGAAAGGTCCAAGTTGCGCCAGCTGGTGAAGCACCTGGAGCAAATTCCGCCCAAAGCCCGGTCGAGTGGGCCATGGCAAGCCTCTGGAACCAGAGAAGCACATGACGTCAATGACTGAATTTTAGCAGCAGGGTAGTTCAATAGATGCTTAGTGACAAGTGAGCCTCAAACTGGGGCCTGAAAGTCACTTTGAAGAACCTGCTACTGAAAAAAAAGAAACCGGTTTTGGGCTGCGAAAAGGTCAGTGGCTGTCCGGCCTTGGCCCAATCACTTGGCCTTCCAGGAGATGTGACGTCCACGAATCGATGAGAGACGGACAAAATGCCGGCTGAAACCAGAACCAAATAGCAGCTTCTTGTTACTAATAGCAAACATTGTTACTACTAGTAAGGCACTTGTTACTAGAAGCGATGCACTTGTTGCTAATAGCAAGATGGTACTAGGTTGGAGGCCATCGCTATTGAATAGCCATCGCTGCCTCTTCGGCCACGCCTAAGTGAAAGTGTCACTCTGACACCTCCTTGACCATGTCTTCCATTTTCTTCCTATACCTGTGGGCGACCTACGGGGCAATAGCTTAGGAGTTGTCAGCGCAGTCAACGATTCTCCAAAAATCTGATCGACAGAAGGGAGTGCTGTAAGGATTCTTGGGAATAAGGTGGGAAAATGTTGTATTTGGAGTTGGTCAGATGCCTCTAAGCCTCTAGATCCTAAGACTAATAAAACATCCTTGATTCACTCAATCGTGTGATAGGATCCTGAATGGAAGCATGCAGTCTCCGTCTTCATGGGCTTGTGCGGGACTTATATAAACACCGACCGCACGGTTTTTGTCAGCAGACACAACAGAGCGTCATGCTAGAGCTCCAAGGACGGTGGAGAAAGCACCGGGGCAACAAAGCCATTCAGTGCCCAGCCCAGCTCATGTGAAGTCCGGCGGAGGATGGAGATGGGCACAGCCTGTCCCTGTGGTCTTTGACTCACTTTGGCTGTCCCTCAAGTGAAGGCTGCTGCATGTTTCCCTTTTGGAGACAGTGGTTAGCGGTTAGCCTGAAACATGCCTCAAGGGAAAGCTAAAACAGGCCACGTCTCGGATTACGTTGAGAATCTGACCACCCCGTGACTGCTACGGCCACGGCCTCCTTAAGCCTGAAACTCCACCCGTGAAAGAACGTGAAGATCCGCTTCGCTTCGACAACAAGTGGTTCACTTGCCAGCTCCAAACGCTCCAAAACCTGTTCTGTCAGGTGGACCTGCGAAGGACAGTGGTTCGCTTTGTGGAAATCATCAACAGCTGGCAACTTCACTGAAGACTGGAGCGTGTTTGTCATATCACGTTGACCCCCCGCGTAGGTCGAAGATTTTTTTGCACTTCAAATGCAAGAGGAACGTTGTCATATTCGTTTCACTCACAGCTTCTTCCGGATGACCCCCCGTTGCTACAATTGAGTGTTCCTTGAAGTCTCCCATGTGAGCAGTCTCCTCCGGGCCGAAAACAAAAAAGGCGCCTCCACAGCCGAACACATTCATCGCACTCTCCTCGCTAAGGCCGGACATGTCGCAGCACACTGGCCAGTGTGAGATGAGAGTGCGATGCCTCAGACCACGCGAGTGCGGTAGCGCAGAGAGATCGGCAGCGCTTGAAGAGCGCGCGCGAGTTGCGCCCCGTTCGGATTCTCGGGGTCGAACTTGGAACTTTTCATCCATATGTTAGCGCCAAGGAAACATGGCATGTTGATCAAGTCAAGTTTTGCTTCAAACTCTCTGATCTGCACATTCCCTTTTTGGGAGAAGACGAGTTTGGTCGAGACGGGGTCAACAGGGATCGCACGCGAGAGCTGCCGACGAGGTCCGAGACGTGAAGCGACGAGAGCTGCCGAGCTACGCTGTGCCGGAGAGAGAGGCGGGGGACGTGGTCCGAGCGACGCTCTTCGACGGCGCCGTCGTTCGCTTTTCGGTCTTTTTGGTGGTTCGGTTTATGGATGTTTCCACGGATTAGAAAACCTCCTCACGGGTCTGACATTTCTGGCCGACATTTGGCTCTGCAATTCGATGAGTTGTTCTTGTTATTCTTTGTTTGTGGGTTTTTCTGACAGCTTTTGCAAGACTCCTTTCCGTGCCATTTTTGTGGCCGTGCTATGCCATACAGTCATTTTACTTTTATATTATTATAGATAAGGCACACAGCAACTCTTATTTTATTTACAGTAAATCTTATGTTCATTCTTTAGGATGTTTCTCTTTCCATTATTTCATTTATAATCTATGCTATTCCAAGAAAAGAGACCTTGGTCTTGAAGCAAACTCACCAAGCTTTTGCAGGATGCCAAGAAAAAGCCGAAGGGACTGCTTCGAGCGTACACGGCCCAGCCCTTAGGGGGCTATCAAAATTGGTCGTTGAAGGCCATCGCTACTAGGGTGGAGGCCATTGCTGTGAGCACCTCTTCTCAGCACCAGAAAGTACCTGTTCGAGAGTGTTTTTCTGTGAGGATGACGTGCCTGGTGAGGAAGCGGTTGGGCACTCAAGTTTTGGCCGATCGTTGATTTGATTTCTCAACCCATTGTGGGTAAACACTTGTCAAAGCCCCATCTACGCCGCAAACGTAACAAACATGAAAAGACAAAATGGCTGGACTCTGTAATGGCCGTGCTTTGATGTGGTCGGGGAGTTACTTTGACCACATTCGAGTGGCTTGTTGACCAGCCACTGTGTACTTCCGATTTTGCCTCATGCTTGCTTCTGAAGTAATATGCTGTGCAGGGTGTTAATCTTGTTAAGGATGTTGGGGCGACGCCTGCGCTTTTCCGAGGTCCCAACCAGGGAAGTGGCTCCAGAAGTGGTTCTGGACATTCCGTCTGAAGACTGAGCATGAAAGGCATGATATGGAGCGACTGCCTCAAGCTTGAATGGAGCAACCAGATGATTTCCCACGAATGAAGTGCGCGAAAGAAGACCAGTTTGGGCGAGTCAAAACGACCGTAACTTTTCTGTCTTTCGGGTTCGACTTGACCAAGGCCTGAGTCAAGGCGGGAATCCGAGACGAAGGAGCATGATGGTCACATCGATCAGATTTAGATCAGCGGGTCAATGGAAGGATGTTGGCTTCAAGTCTTTCGAAAAGGGATTCCAACCTTGGAGAAGTAGAGTGTAAAGCCATGAAGTAAAAGTAATATAAGTAATCACCATCGCTATTGGGTGGAGGCCATCGCTATTAGGTGAAGGCCATCGCTATTGGGTTCTTGAGACTGAGAGTTACAAACATGCGTGTCTTTGTAACGCAAGCAAATGGTCTTTTTCTCTCTGTGATGGATCCATTTGGACGGCTCACCGCGCTTTGGAGGCCAGTGCAAAGTGAAGGCAAACGGGAGATGCGTTGTTTCAATTACGATGGTGAAGTCAGACCAGCATAAAGTCAGGCTGCGAAAACTCTTGGTCTTTTTTTTCTCCGGCACTGGGCTGTGTAGCTCTGCCAGGCCAGACAAAGCGAAAGCTGGTGTGGGACCAAGTTGAGAAGAAGGTGAAGCAAACTTTTTGCAGGGACTGTGGTTCTACAGTTGCCCACAGAGATTATGCATGGATTGCGGTTGATGTCCTTGCTGCAGGTTTTGATATAGCACGATATAGCAAGTTATACGGCAGTAGATGCAGTAGCCTGAAGCCTCCAAAAAGGCTTCTCGATGTACAGAAGGTGCTATAAGACACGCACGCTATCGATTGGCGATGTTTTCCAGACAGAAACCCATCAGCCACAAACGGAAGGAACCTTTGCCAAAAGCTTTGCGGGGCACCTCAGTCAACGGACGGACTCGGACAGTCGATCAACGGTCAGTGAGAAACAGCCGGGAAACCCATGTTGAGCCGGTGATGTTGTGTGGCGTCGTCTTTTTCTTTCACGAGCCACGTGTCGATGTTCTCGGCGTTTGCACGAAGAAGCTGCAGGGACCCTCCCAGGGAGGGGCTCAAAGTGTACTGGGCTCAGAAGGATGTGGTGTTTTCCACATCATTCTTGGTGAAGCGTTCATCCACCAAACTTGACATCATCGAACCTGTGCAGTTGGTTCTATAGATAGGAAGAATTGCCACTTTACACTTTTGTCACAGAGCCATATTGTTTTCTGCGAAGCACAGATGAGAGAATGGCCGACTTTCAACCGACTTTCGGTGAAGCTCACGAGTGGTTCGCCGCTTGCTTCGATGAGGCGGAAAATGTCCAAGATCACCGTGAAGTTAGCTGAATCGTAGTTCTGAGTGGCTGCTGTTTCGGAGGCATCTAATCGCAGTCTTTAGCCATTTAATCGCTCTTCTTGTTGCTTGGGATGCTTGAGAATTGACACTGCCATCCGTTCTTTTTTGAGCGATTTCTGCACTCCTGATATAGCAGCTGTCTATTTCCTGTGCTTGGCCAGGAAAAAGTGATCGTTGGTTGGGGGACATGGGGGGAACGCCAGTTCTTTTGGTGATGATATATTTGATGATGATGA